AAACACAAAGAGAATATCGGAATTGAATGTCATGGTCTCCAAGTATTTCAATATAACATATATTCTTGTCTGCAGTCTACTTCAACTTTCGGACAGCCAGGGTTGTTCCTTGAACCTCCAAAGCTGAAAATAGGTCCAGCCACAAGATTTCTAACTCTGAAAAACTTGTTAATCTCATACTCTTTCCTTTTTTTCTTTTTTTCCTGGCAATTTAGGTCAATCACACATGCTCTTTTCATTTATTCTGACCTTGATTCTTTTAGTCCGTACCGATTTCCCAAACTTCTGTCCTTTCTTGCCTCATGGCTTACATTTTTCCTTCCCTATTTCAAGCAATTTAAAATTCCCTGGCCTTCTGAGTTTGTTACGAGCTGGGCTTTGCTCTGGATGAGGTCTTTAAACCAGGTCTTGGTGTTTTGAACATTGTTTCCTTTTTCAGATATGTGAGTGGGCAGGTATATATAACCCGGTCTGTCCAATCTAGAATTGGGGATTTTATCTTTCAGATTGAGGAACCTATTTCAGTGAAACTTGAGCAGATCTACTTAAATCTTAGATAATGCAGGATAGGAAGGAAAAGAATAGCAGTTCCCAGGGACTTGGGAAGCCGCGCACTGTTCCCGGGGCCGGGGGATAGGTGGGAGGCTCCTTGGTGCACCAGTGCCTCCACACACTGATTTCCTGAACACCTGCTGCCGACCAGCCCCGACGCGGAGACCAAGGACGGAGCAGATACAGTGAATCACGAAGTTCGTGCTCCCAGGGGGTCTGTAGTCTAGCAGGGGACTCACTGTGGTAAGCAGCTAAGCACAAACTTAATTATGCCTCCCCGATGGGCTCTGTTCAGTTCTGCAGAATTTTATATCCCTAATTTCCCATGTTTGTTGTTCAAAATCTACCCCGCCATGAAATACTCACTAGTCTTTAGGATTTGGAGGTATTTTTAAAAGCAGTATTTAAGGTATGGTTTGTAATCTTTTATCAATGCCTTTTACTGTTAGTTAAAAACCTTTTCCCACCTTTGGACTAACACAGTATCGTGTGGCTTAGATTTCTTGGTTCTCGGGGATCTATAGGTCTATTATGAGAAATTTCTTATTTCTTAACTCTGAGTGATTTCAGGGTCTTGTTTATGGTTTTCAAGTCACTGGCAGGGGTGGCATTAACCTTTCTTTTTATTTTGCTGCATACAAAGTCCTTGCTTTCAGGGGTAGAATTAAGTACACAGTGAACAGGTCCTTCATAACCTGTGAAGAAAATGATGTTGCCATGACCTCTTTCTGGGGTCATGAGCATCACCAGTCTGTGTAGTGGGAAGATCACACGTTAGCTCTGAGCCTCCAGGGGCGCCAAGCCAATGGAGAGTAATTGATCGTGCCTGCCAGGAGAGCTGTTCTAAGATGAGGCTCAGAAGGGGGCTCATCAAAAAAGAAAACTATGATTGATAAGTGAAATCTGCCGTGGGCAAGGAAGGGACGTGTACTGTAAGTGCGAGGGATTTTCCATTCCCGATACACTGACTCCCTGGGAATGGCTTGACCTTGTGGCTTTGATTTTCATTTCTTTCCGGGTGGAAGGATCATTTATTTTATTCTGAGAAGAATGTTTTAGACACAACTTAAATAATCTAGCTCTCCTCCCCACTTCTAATGAAGTTAAATTGATGTTCTCATTCCCAAATAGTATCACATTCAGGCTGTTGTCACTGGTAGGTGGTTCCTCTTAGCACGCAGGTAAGAATGAAGCCTGTCCTTACAGGGGGGAAGATAAAGTGGTGAGTTAGACTCCTGTTGTCTTAGGAAGAGTAGGCTCGATGCACAATCTTGTGTTTACATACACAGTTTTTAGAAGGTCCTTTATGCATTCCACTCCACCCCTGTGTGTTTTTCTATATAGAATAGATTTCTGGATGTTTTCCATTTCAGTTTAGAATAAAATTACTAAAGCATATTGTGTGTGTATGTACACACTCATTTTTTTTTAAGATTTTATTTATTTGACAGAGACATCACAAGTAGGCAGAGAGGCAGGCGGTTGGGGGGGGTGGGAAGCAGGCTGCCCACGGAGCAGAGAGCCCGATGTGGGGCTTGATCCCAGGACCTGAGATCATGACCTGAGCTGAAGGCAGAGGCTTAACCCACTGGGCCACCCAGGCGCCCCTGTGCACACACTCATGTGTGCACGTTTGTGTGTGTCTGGGTTGTATGACGGAATGTATTTCTAGTGGGTTGTGATCAGTATAGTTGGAAAGTCACCATTCAGACCACACCCTTTTTATAACCATGGCACCCTGGGGAATAGAGTTTCCTACTGCTTACTGACTTGGCCTATATCCTCTGTCTCAATAACATCCAATCCATGTGCTGCTTTATTTTGACTGTTCAGATAAAACTCTGGAAGGTGTGAATTTGAGCAAGGGTAGTAAGCAAGGTCTGTTTAAAACGTATTCCGCACCTATGGAAGCAAACACAAGTGGTGAGCACTTAGCTTCCTGAATGTGCATGCGGTCCCGGCCACCTCCCCCTCGCTCTGAGAGTCCCCTGTGACTACCGGCATGGCACCAGCTCCCATCCCAAGGGAACCTCGCTCTGTCTTAGTAAAAATTCAGGAATAGAGACGTATTGCCCTGGCCATCTCCCATCTGGGAGAGCGGCCCCCTTCGAATTCCTTGGACCACACACAGCTTATATCTCAGAGTCCCTTGTGACTCCCACCAGCGTTCCGGGAGCTGTAGCCGTTGTCATTTCCCAGCCGCCTGTGGAGAAAAGTGAGCAGAGCGTGCTTTCAGTGGCCAGCGACGTAGGTGACCAGATGTTATTTTGGGGTCACCATCACTAGATTTATAAAAGCCGAACGTCCGACCCACCTAAAGAAAAAACAGATTGAAGTCAAAGGGTCCAAGGAACACAGGTCACTTGGCCAGCAGGCCCAGTTCCTGTGTCCTTCACGGCTATGAGCTGGAGGTCAGGATCCAAAATGAGCAGGAGGGTGGGAAGGGGGCTGCCTGGGGCCCTGAGATTTCACCTTCTACCGACTCCTGCTGTTAGAAAAAACCGAACAGGTACGTGTTTAGATGATGTGGCGAGCAAGCGCAAAAAGGAAAATAGCACTTCGGTAGCTTTAAGGAATGGAATGGGGTCAGACACCCAGCTGTGCAGTAGCCGGACACGGGGGGAGGCGCCCTTCCCTGGAACAGAGCCTGTGGCTCCCGCGCCATACGGAGTCGGTGAGTGTGGGCTGTCGCCGGGCTTGCCCCCTTGCGCTTACTGCGTTTCAGAGACTCTATTCTTTTTGCTAAGTGTCCACTTACTAACAGTGGTAAGATTTTCAGGAGAAATAGGACATGCATTATTTTGTGGTAAATTTTTAAAACCATAGTCATTTCTTTCACGTGCTGAGAATACGTTCTGGTGATGAAGATGTAATGGCTGCGCCTCGGCTTTCAAGTGAAAGGAAAAGTACTCACGAGTGTCAAGAGTGCCACGCGCGTTACCCACCTCCTCTCTGTTCCTTTCCAGCTGCTTCTGGTGCAGGTGTTGCTCGGGTCCTAAGTTTTTCCCCTGGAGGTTCTTAGTTAAAGGGCCTCGAGTGACCTTGGCCCTGGCTTCTTTGCCCTTGTGCCTGCGGTGAACCGGGAGGTGGGCCGTGCGGGGACAGCAGCTCTGGGCCGTGCGTCCGGTGGAGAACATGCGCGGGCTCTGCAGTGGGGCCTTCCACGCCGCGCAGCGCGGGGCGCAGGGCCTGGGCGGCTCACCTGGGCCCCGTCCTGCGCTTTTTCCTGCTTCCCCGAGGCTCGTCCCCCACCGGCTTTCTTCACCTTCTCTACTATGGCAGTTCCTTCCTTTTCTCTCCAGCTTATAAATGTCTTCGAACGCGATCCGCCCGTTTCCCCGGGTGCGCTCTCCACGCCGGGCAGCGAGTCCGGGGCGGGCGCAGGCAGCGGCCGTGGGAGCGCGCGCCCTCCCTGCGCCGCAGCCCGACGACCACGCGCGGCTCCCGATCCGCGGAGCCCGGTGCTGTCGCTGGTAGCCACCCTCCGGGCCGTTGTTTTCCTTTTGATTATGAGACTGTGACCATGAAATACAGCTGAGAAAACGGGCTGTTTTCTTAAAAACGGACACAGACACGCCCACGGGTTGGTAACTATTTTTATTTGACATCGGATTCCCGTCTCCTGCGCTGGCGTCGTCGTTACAACCGCCCTCTCTGGGACCCGGTCACGACCGCGCGGAGGCTCTGCCTCCTGCTTCGTCGCAGCACCGGGTGGACAGCGCTGCGGGTCCCCGAGAGCAGACGGGGGTGCGCGTTCGCAAAACCTGGCGGGTGGGTTCTCGCGCCGCGGCTCTGCGGCACCGTTGGGTTGGGAAATGGACGGACGAGGGTAAGAAGGGAGACGAGGGGCTCATTAAACATCAAGCGAGGGCGTGTCTCGGTGTCCCAGGCGGTCTGAACGGCCGCGCCGGCCGCGCCGAGCCTTCTCGGCCCGGTCCCGGCGGGCGGGGGAGGGACGCTCGGGCACCACCCGCCCTCCCCTCCCAGGGTGAACGCCGCACGGGGCCAGGAGCTCGGGCCTTCAGACCCAGATTCTTATACTTGGGGTCACGCTCCTTTCCCGGCGCTCTGCATTAACTTGGGGATTGTGGACCTCTGCTTCTTCAGTCTCGGTATGTCCGAAACCGTTCCGTTTCCGGGCACGAGTTTCCTCTGCACGGCATCTCCGGCCTCGGTTGTGACTCGGCTGAGGGCAGTTTGCACCGGCCGCTCGGCGGGAGCCTACTGCTCTCACCTCAGAGCTGAGGGGGTGAAGTGTCGGGAGCCCTTTATGAACTGTCGTGTACCCTTCATGCCCTGTCTCGGCACCTACGGCTGTCCTGCCTGTTTTCAAATTTAATAATTAGGTCAGCGACTCTTGATTTATTTTAAACGATGACACCAAAGACAGTAGTAAGGCCAGAAATGGCGCCGTCCTCACAGCCCAATCCCAAAGGAACTTCTCCCCATGTTACAGAGAGGACTCCAGCGTTCATAAACACCAGACGGAGCCTTCGGCGTAAGGATTTAAGGATGGGCAGGAGGCAGCTGATGTGGAGGACACCAGAGACCCTCAGCAGAGAACAGTCTCGCTTCAAAATTAAAAACAATTCCCTAGGAGAAATGGAATGCTAATAACCGGTACTGAATTTTGTAGGGGAATGACCCACTTTGGTTTTCCAAGTGAATGTAATGGAGCTTATGTACTTTCTTTATAAATAATTTTTCTCCCTCACTGTAGAGTTCAGATCTGTCATTTGTGTTACCTGGGGTTCCCGAAACATTAACATCTTTAAAACTAGGGGGCATCCCATGGAGAGGTTTAAATTTCTGTAAACCAAGGTGAACTCTTCTTGTGGAGCAGTAAGTCAGCAGCAAATGAGGTAAATCCGAGGCCCGGCCATGGATGCCACTTGCTGGGTTAGTTTTTGATGGCCATGGTCCAGAGGAGCGGGTGGTCCGTTTCTACCGTCACGACACCAGACCCATCATAGGTATTGGAAGTACTGACCAGTGTTCCAAAGCCAAGCATGTTGTTCGCTATAAGAAAACGATAAAACAAAATGTTTACTGAGAGACAACCTTTCTTCAGCGTGGAAGAACTTTGTCAACGGTTACCAAAAAGCAGGGAAGCCTGTGCTTTGACATAAGCTCTGTAAGATGTGGGGCACGTGAAACATAGCTTGTAGGATTTCAAAACTGAAAGTTTCCATAATTTGCCCTAACTGCTCTTCCGGGAGTTAGTTATTGGCTGTTAACTCTTCTGGGATATATGCCATTCTCGGACAAAATTTCATTAAATTTTTAAATTTTTGTTTCCTTACCAATTGTAAAACCAAACCCATTTTGTAATGTGCTACTTACTTCCTTGCCTGGGTGCAGTTATAACTTTTCTTGATGATTGAGAATTAACATTTTACATAAGTTATTAAATTCTATGAAGATGCAGTTTTAGCTTCAAGTCTGAATGATATGGGGCGGAAAGCTAATTACTTCCACAAAAGCATGGGATTTTGGTTATATTTTTCTCATAAATTAAGAAAAGCAAAAATGAGCAAGGCTTGCTTTCTGTAAAATTAATAGGAATTCAAAGGTCGAAGCCAACTTCCAACTGTGAAATCTTGAGGAAGCCATAAGCCCAGCTATAAAAATGAGGCCAAGAGATGAGAGATAATCTTCTAACTACTTAATTATCAAATATCAAAGTAAAAGGTTAGGTGCTAAGTGATATATATGTAATTGATAAGTAAATTCTAATTCCATGTAGGTAGATAGTTTAACAGGTTAGCTGGAGCGAATGCCGAGGCATTGAGGCTTTAAGCTGAGGTAACTTCACTTTCTTTATTACGTAGGAGCAGTTCTTCAACATGATGGCAAACTCAGGACTGTCCTATACACATTCCATGATAACCAATATTATTCTCTTGGTTAAAATTCAAAGAGAAAAATAAAAGGAGCCCTTTTCCGTTACAAAATGTAACTCTGAAGTTACACTGCTTTGGGGGAATAACTCATTATAATGCTCACTTCCCACTAGGGGGAGCTTGTTATCTTTCCGAGGAAATCTTGAAAAAGCAATTTAAAAATTCAGAGATAGCATTCATTACAGGACAATGGTAATTAGTAATTACCAGTTAACACAGTTTCCTTATTAAAACTCAAAGTACTTATTTTTCAGAGTTTTCAGCACCTTTACTAATGCAAACACCAAGTTATAAGGTAAAACCACACAAGAATATGGAGTGCACCTGATACATAATTCAGCGTCAGAAGCTCTTGGCTCTTCAATAATTTGGAACTTCTTTGAGATCAAGTTTCCAAATTATACGAATAGGCACACAGATTTACAAAACTAGACACGATTATGTGGATAGTGGGTTAGGGTGGCGGTCGTGGATTCATGACAAAGTCTATCTGGGATCTGTTGGAGAAAGAGGCCTTGGCTCTCCTGGCAACAGTTTGAGTGCTGCAAACCATTTATTCATAAAGACAATTCTGGATGCTCTAGTGGGCCTGCCAACTTCCCAGTGGAGAACAGGACATATACGCACAACAACCTGAGTTTGACACAACGCATTTTAAGATTCTGCAAACTGATTAAAATCCTGGCTTTACATAAGGCTCAAAGGACAAGAGCACAAAATTATTTCTCTAGTTTGTAGTTGCATATAAATTCCTTTCTGCTTTTTTTGTATGCAGACTATCAATTTTGGATTATTGGGACTAGACCCTTAGGAGACAGATATATATCTAAGTGTCTCTCTCTCTCTCTTTCTCTGCGTTTCCCTGACAATACTTAGAGGGGAAAGAATAAACACAGTTTTACTCTCATCATGAGAGTCCCTCCTCACCACCTGATTCAACTCTAGTCACCACCCAAAGGCCCAACCTCCAGACACTACCATCCTGGGGCTTATGGCTGCCACATAAGACTTTTAAGGGATGCATTCAGTGTGTAGCAGTACAACCAGAATTAAAGGAGGGTTACAATTAAATACATTTGCGAATCTCCCAACTTTATGGAAATTACAATAAAATGATAGAAAACTAAGATGAATAAGCTAAAATACAAAATCATGAATTTTAACTTACTGTCTCACTGCAATTATCTTGGAGTATATTCCTTTCAGTCAAAGAATCATGCTTTTCAAGCAAACAGTAAAGTCCTCATATAAGAAAAAAATCTTTTTTTTTTTTTTTTTTTTTTAGGAAAATAGTTGGAATTATGATTGAACTCTCTCTACTCCAAATGTTGGAGGGTCAATCATAAAGTAAAATGACAACACTGGCAGAGAGACAACTTCGCACAGATGGGAAAACAAATTATTTTCTTCCAGTTCTAATGCGATATATTGATGCATACAGCATAATGACTTGACATATCTATGTACTAGCAAACGATTATCACATAAATTCAGTTAACGTGTATTACAACTTTTTTCCCTTGTGATGAGAACTTTTAGAATCTACTCTTGCCAACCTTCAAACATTCCATACGGCATTGCTGGCTACATTGATCGTGTACATTATATGCCCAGTACTCCCCGATCTTAGAACCAGAAGTCTGTGTCCCCCTTTCCTTACTTCCCCCCACCACTGTACCCCTGGCAACAAAGTAGCAGGTTTTCTGTGAGGCTGGTACTTTCAGATTCCACATATCAGTGAGATCACACAGTATTTGTCTTTCTCTGTCTGACTCGCTGCAGGTAACATAATGCCCTGAAAGTCTAATCATGTTGCTGCAAATGGCAGGATTTCTCCCGTTTTATGGCAGAATCATATTCCAGTGTGTGTGTGTGTGTGTGTGTGTGTACACTTCTTTATCCATTCATCTACTGATGGACACGAGGTTGTTTCCCTTTCTTGGCTCTTGTGAATAATGCTGCTAGAGAACATGGTGTGCAACATCTCGGCAACATGTGTCCTCATTTCCTTCAGATGGTCCCAGAAGTGGAACTGCTGGATCGTAGGGTAGTTCTAGTTTTAATTTTTGAGGGAATCTCCATAGTCTTTTCCAAAGTGGCTATACCAACTTACATTCCCATCAGCAGCATACCCAGCTTCTCTTTTCTCTAAGACCGTGCCAGCATGGTTGTTTTTGTCTTTTTGAGGACAGCCATTCTACGAGGTGTAAGGCGACAGCTCATTGTGGTTTTGAGTTGCACTTCTCTAGCGATGAGTGGTGCTGAGTGCCTTTTCAGGCACCTGTTGGTCATTTGAGTATCTTCTTCGGAAAAACGTCTATTTAGGTACTTTGGCCATTTTTCAACTGGATTATTTGCTTTTTTTCTCTTTTTGCTAATGAATTTTAGGAGTTCTTTATATATTTTAGATATTAACTCCTTATCAGATATACAGCTTGCAAATATTTTTTTCTCCTTTTCACATATAGGTTGTCTTTTCATTTTGTTGATTGCTTCTTTTGTTGTGTGGAAGTTTTTGTTTGACATTTATTTTTTAATTTGTTGCTTGTGCTTTAGCTGTCTTATCAAAACATCATTGCCAAGACCTGTGTCAAGACAACTTTTCCCCTAGGTTTTTTTCTGGGATTTTCATGTCTTCAGGTTTCATGTTTAAGTCTTTATTCTATTTGAGTTAATTTTTGTGAGTGGTTCAAGATAGAGGAGTCTAGTTTCATTCTCTCACATGTGAAAACCCCATTTTCTCAGTATCACTTATTGAAGAGATAGTCTTTTCTCAATTGAGTGTTCTTGGATCCCTTAGCAAATATTTTTTTTTTTTTAAGATTTTATTTATTTATTTGAGAGAGAATGAGTGAGAGAGAGCATGAGAAAGGAGAAGGTCAAAGGGAGAAGCAGACTCCCCCAGGAGCTGGGAGCCCGATGCGGGACTTGATCCTGGAAGTCCGGGATCATGACCTGAGCCGAAGGCAGTTTCTCAACCAACTGAGCCACCCAGGCGCCCTCCCTCAGAAGTATTAATTGATTGTATAGGTGGGGGGTTAATTCTGAACTCTGGATTATGTTCCATTGGTTCATGTGTATATTTTTTATGCCAGTTAACATTCTGTTTTGATTACTACAGCATTATTATATAGTTTGAAGTCAGGAATTGTGATGCCTCCAACTTTGTTTTTTCCTCAAGATTATTTAGCTATTCAGGGTCTTCTGTGGTTCCATACAAATTTTAGGATTTTTTTTTTAAACTTTTGTAAAATATGCCATTGGAACCTCGATAGGGATTGTAGTAAATGTATAGATGGTTTTGGAAAGTATGGACATTTTAACAATATTCTTCCAATCCATGAACGTGGAATATCTTTCCATTTGTGTCTTACTTGATTTCTTTCATTAATGTCTTATAGTTTTCAGTGTAGAGATCTTTGACCTCTTTGAGTAAATTTACTAAGTATTTTATTGCTTTTGATGCTATTATAAGTGGGATCATTTCCATCTTTTTCAGATAACTCATTGTTAGTATATAGAAACACCATTGATTTTTGTATGTTAATTTTGTAATCTGTACCTTTGCTGAGTTGTTGATCTGTTTGTTTTGGTACAGTTGTTAGGATTTTCTGTACATAAAATCATATCATCTGCAAATAGTTTTATTTCTTCTTTTCTAATTCTGATGCCTTTTATTTTGCCTAACTACTCTGGCTATGATTTCCAGTACTGTGTTGAATATGAGTAGTAAAAGCTGGCACCCTTGTCTTCTTCCTGACCTTACAGGAAAGGCTTTCAAACTTTCACCATTAAGCATGATGTTAGGTATGGGTTTGCCATATATAGCCTTTACTATATAGAGGCATGTTCTTTTTATACATTTGTTAAGAGTTTTTATCATGAATGGATGTTGAATTTTGTCAAACGCTTTTTCTGCACCTGTCAAAATGATCATTATTTTTCTATTAGTGTGATGTATCATGTTTATTGACTTGTGTTATGCTGAACCATCCTTGGATCCCAGAGATAAATACCACTGATTATGGTGAATAATCCTTCTAATGTGCTGTTGAGTTCAATTTGCTAGTAATTTCGTTGAAAATTTTTGCATCTGTACGTGTCAGGGTTATTGGC